CGCCGCGCCCGCCGGGGCAAGGCCAGGCCAGGCCAGGCCTCGCCGGCCTGCGGCCCCCAGGAGGGGGCCTGGGGGAGCCCGCGGAGTTTTTGGCCTATGCGCGGCCTTGTTGAGGGGCAACACAGCGCCGTGGGGAGCGCTTGGCAAAGGGCCCTTGCAGGAGGAGGCCAACGCGGTACAAGGGCTCTCCTTCCCCCTTATAAACCGATCCCTCGCTCAGGTCTCATTGTGCTGAATTAAATAAACCGGCCGTTTTAATCCTGTTAATTCCCGTGAGTCTTCCTCTGCGCTTTTCCCCGTGTTCCTTTTTTTTTTTCCCCTGCTCCAAAATAAAATACAGCAAATGGGAACACGTTCCAGGGGAAACTCCCGGGGCACGAGCCCCCCCCTCGCCACTGCCTCGCGTCCGGCTGCAGCAGCCCGTAGCTGGCAGCGGTCTCGCGCCTGGCATTGCCCCTCGGCACCCATGCTGCCCACCCGCTGCACAGGCGGCTCAGCCAAACCCCCTCACTTCTTGGCCCAAAGCATTGCCTGTTGGCTCAGGTGGGATTTTCACAGCCCACGTGGCTGCAGCTTTGAGGGCGACAAGGAAATGAGGACTGCGATAAGCCCCCAAGCCCTGTGAATGCCGTGCGTGGTGGCGCTTGCCTAACGATGCCTGATGGAAGAATCCTGTCCTGATCCATGGAAACCGAGGGGCCAAATCCACGGATGAAAATTTGCATCTGCTGCCCGCCTTGCACTGATGACTCTCCAAATCGCAGAGCCTTGGTGTTGCGCTTTCCGGGCTGACAGAGAGCAGCTGGGAAGTGGTGCTGGTGGGATGGGAGGCTCCTAGGAGTCTGCTCGCTTGACCTCAGTCCCAGGATTCCTGTAGTCTCTTGTAAATGTGCCACAGCATGCTGAAAATTACAGACCTGAGTGATTTAACATTGTGCCACATGATAAATGCTTAGAATGCTGAGCAGCTAATTCAAACAAGCGTAAAGTTGTGGATGCAATGATTAACAAGGAAAGTATCTTAGGCCGACATAGCAGAATTGAATGGATGCATTTCAATTTGATACAGGTAAGTTGCTGCAAATAAAGCGAGCAAATTAATCCATGGTGACATTCCAGCAGAGAAGAGGCCTGGTGGCTTTGATGGTAATGTATCCTTAGGTGGGAAAGGACAGGTTTGAATAAGGTGTGCTTGATAAAGATTGAGTATTCACGTGTTCAAACACAACACTTTTTAGTAAACTTCAGAAAAAATGATTTAATGTCAAGTGAAAAAAAAAACAATTAGCAACACAATGGACATACTGTTAATTATCATAAGCTGGAATGAGTGGACATCCAGTGCAAGGAGATGCTTTCAGTCCTGGCACGACTGACCCGCCATTTAGGTAGGAGGGTGCTGAGTGAATTTTTGCAAGAGCAATGTAAAGTTACTGGGTTTTGAGCTTTAAAGAGAACCACTGGAGCCTGAAATTCATTGAGTGTGTTTATCGTGCAGCCAGTGAACTGCACAGGAATGCAGTGAATCCCTGTTATTTATCTTTCTTAGCTTTATTTTTATATTGATTTTTATTGAAAAAATGTGAATAGACAATACAAAGAGCAGGAAGGGTAAATGCATGAAAGAGAAATCAAAAGCAAGGAAATACTTCTTACAGTTGGCATGTGAAACTCTTTTAAATGAATCCGGGATAAAGCAGGAACCCTTTCAAAGGTATGACTTCCACTGCTTCAAAAAGTGTATGGAACTGGAAAGTGACCTGTTGGAGAACAAGCTCTGTTGGGATGAATATATTTTCTCTCAACCAAAAATAGCTTGTAAAGGAGCATATTTTTCTGAATAAGCTGCTAAAAGGAATATATTTTCTGTGTAAGGAGGTTAAACTTATTTGTTTAGCAGATTTCTGCTGGAGTTGGATGCCTAGTCAGTGAATGAATACTTCAAAAATTATTTCTGATCTAGTAGCGCCTGAGGTTTAGTTGAAATTTATGGGATGATGTTACCAACTCTTCAGGGGCATGGAAAATATTTAATTCTGTAGTGCTGAGAGAGAGAGAGAGAGACCGCGGAGAGTGAGGAGGAGGGAGCTGGAGGGGTGACTATCTGCTGCAGCTAAGGGGAGCTGAGAAAATAATGAGACTGCAGGAGGTAACAAATGTTTAAAAGGTCCAGGCTACCTAACACCATAGTCCGTGTAGTATGGAGGGTGCTTTTGCAGTAGGGCTGGAGCCAGGATGAAACGGATAAAAAACTTCCTGGAATGCCTGGCATGCCTCTGCGGAGGCACTGGGGTGTGAGGATCAAACAGGCAGGCAGGAGATGGGTGTCTGGCCACTGCTGTTAGTAAATCTACAGAGAAATGATGGTTAAAAGGACGGGTTAAAAGTCGAGAACCTAACCACAAATGATCTCCCAGGTTTAGGGCTTTATTTGTGGAATGCTTCAGCCACTTCACTACCTGCTCTTGAAATTTCAGAAATCTTGAGATGATTAATAGTGAAAATATGAAACATTATCTACCACAAAAACAAGAAGTTCTTTGATGAGAGCTTGAAAGGAACCGATTTAGGACAAGATAAACTCGTCAGAGTACTAAACTGAGCCAATTAAGTCTTTTCAACTTGAGACTCATATTGTTTGACTCATAAAGCCAAATAAAGTTACTGTATTTTTGGCTTAAAGTGCATAAGTCACCTGGATTTTAGATCTGTGCATGTTTCTCAGCAGCACTTTGTGCAGGGAGTGAGGAGCACGGGTGAGGGTGTGAAACAGTGAAATTTGAGTCTTCTAGGCTGACTAGCCCAGCTGATAAGTGAGAAGTAACTAATGCAGATGTATTGGTTCTAATAATTTGGGTACATTTGGATGTGTGGCTTTGTGCCATGAAAACCTAACTTGAAGGTCATTGTTTACACCTGCACAAATAGATAGAAAACACTGATTTCTTTTTTCTCTCATTCTGCTGAGGTAGAAATGGCTGGAAGCTACCAAGCCAGGCTATCCACTTTCAGTATCCACTTCTGCAACAGTGAAGTCTGTTCGAGTTTGCCTTGAACAGTTTCCTCTTCGAGAAACAAGGCAGGATCTTTAGCTTTTAAGAAGGGTTTCCCAGGTGGTTTTACATGATTTAGGGGAATATAGAGTGAAATTTGCCTAAAACGGAGAGTAAAGAAGTGATTTAAGTCTGGGATTCTGGGTGCCTAAATTCAAAGCCGTGGTCCTTAAAACATACTACTTTCAGAAGGGGTGAAAACAGGTCCCCCCTGCTCAGGATTTTACTGTTGATGAGCCCTGCAGAGTGACGACCTCTCTTGTGAGGCAGTGGCTCAGGGATTCACCGGCTGCCTAATCCCTTCTTCTTGACGCCATTCTGAGGCCGTTCAGCAGAAATACATGACTCTCAGATACCCCCTGTCTATTCTGCCTGAGCACTGTAGGCTGCTCTTGCTACTTACTCCTTGCTCTTTGGGAGTTCCTGTGTGGCTTTCATTTTAAAATGAAGGCGAATTTCATCTCTCTCTTTAAAACAATGTTTTGGTTTTTGGCTGTGGAAAAAAATATTGCACTGCCAGAAAGGAGCTAAAGTGAATGCTAGAGGCCAGAAGGTAAATCTCTGGCTGTTGGGTAAGTGAGCTGGGGGCAGAGTAAGAGCATAGCTTTGGTGATTTAATGTTTGAGATTGACAGTCTTGTGTAAGCTTGGTGCAGTTAGTCTTCTTCACACGAAATAGTAAAAGATGACAAATTGCTTTTAGGGATGTAGTTTTCGTTTTGAGTTTAACCGCTGTAACATTCCTCTTAAAGTGGAATATACCTGCTCTCAGGCTCCATGGTCCACAAAGGAATTCCAAGTGACTAGCTCAGACCTAGACATCTTCTAGGCGTCAAAAGTTCAGTGAGAAAACCCCTGTTCTTTACGACCATTTTTTAGATTTTTTTGATCTTGCTCTTCTGATACTTTCCATTTTTCTTGCTGTGTGTCAGCAAGGAACCAAACAGGTAAATAGAAGTGCTGGGTTATATCTGAAGTCAGTGCAGCTTGCATGCCTAGGACGTTAGGCTATCCCCCTTTTTCTTTTTGAGGGTCATACAAGAGGTTGATTTCCCATCAGACCCTTTTTCAGGTGAATATTTTATCCGAACAAACTGCATTATACTAGAAGGACATCCGAGGGCCGGAGGAAGCTCCAGAAGTAGTACGCTGTGCAGGCACTCTCTAACCCACCTGTAATGGTATGTCTCAGCCTGAGGATACATCCATGGGCTTTGCAGGTGACTGTCTGGGGGAAGGCTGGTTGCAATGAGCCGCAGCTGTACCAGTGTCCCGACCATCAAGAGGTATGGATAAACAGGCCATGCTTTGTGTCCTGCGCTTATTTTATTTGCTAGTATATACAGAGCCTTTGTGAAATAGGCAATATAACAGAGAAGAGGGGTGAATTTTAGCTACATCTTATGCATAGAAGATCTGTCTCTGAGCCTTCCGTCTGCAGAGACGTAGCTGACTTCAGGAGAACGGTGCTTCTATCTATCCACGCAGGGAACATCTTCAAGTTTGGGCCCTTATTCTGCAAATTTTGGCTGCTGCTGAACCTCTAATGTTCCTCCTTACACCAGGGTTGGGACCATGGAGTACGTTACTGACAAAATACACACGCGTGTGCGACAGGCCTTGATTTAAGCTGTAATTATGACGGCCTTTCAGTATACCTTATGGTGTCTGCAACCAGCTGAGGATCTGTCCCCCGGGATGTAGCAAGGAACAAGGCAAAGCGCTGCAACACACTAGAAAAGTTCGAAAAAGTTACAGAGATCACTCACTTTCTTTTCCTTTTTTTTTGGAAGCAAGGGGAGGCTGGAATTAACAGTATAAAGTCTTAATGAGTAGATTGTGCTGAGCAGTGTGGTTCACCTCCGTTATTCTCCCAGTCTCAAATGTTTACCAGCCAATCAGAGCGTTCCTTAAAACCAGAGATTTATAATGAAAAGTCAACCCTAATTGAATTTCTTCATTAAAATCACCATCAAACAGATACAGAACACCTTACACCACCTTGTTTAAATTAGATTCATTTTTCTGATTAATTATTAAAAGGAAAGTTTAAAAAATCATAAAATCTTAAGTGCTATTAAAAATTGATTAGGAATGCATTTTTTCATTGACCCAGTTTGTATTTTTTTTTAATTTTTTTTTTTGGCAAAGCTAATACATTTGAGTACCTGCCTCAGACAGAAGTTTGTAATCATTTGGTCATCAGTCAATTAATCACAGCTTCATAAATATTGATCTCGGATTACATTTATTCTTCATTCTTGAAAGACAGTTTTTTATTAATTTAGGCTCACTCACATACATTGTGGTTTACGCTGAAATTATTTTTAAAAGTTCTATTAAAATTTAATTTGAGCAGCCAGCCAACAGTGCAGCCACTGCGCATTGTGCCACCTTTCGGCAGGTTTATCACCTCCTCCTGAAAGGTCTTGAGTACCCACAGCTCATACCGTAGGGCTTGCTGACTGGCATCTGTCACCTATAAAACCCCTTTAGCTGGAAGTTGTAGGCCACTGTCCATGCCAGGCAGAAGGAGTAATTTGAGAGTAAGTGTGGATTTTTGTGAGGGGAGAAAAGAGGGCTCTGGTGTTTCCCATCCCACCCTCAGTGGCTGTGTCCTGATTTATGGTAGTCCATCACCGATGGTAGTGCCTTCCTGATGGCTGAACAGCGCTCTGGCTACTCTTTGGCCTTTCCCAAGCGTCAGACAAGCCGTGTGAGGGTGTGTGTTTGTGGGTACATACGTTGACTGTCCCCAGCCCTGCTGTATGGGGGTCATACGTGAGGTGATGGCCCATCCCAGGACAGTGAGGGTACCTGGAAGTGCTCTTGCAGGGTCCGCTACTGCATCTCTTGCACCTGGGAGTAAACCCAATACTTGCTTTTGCAGGAGTTGCATTTGTAAACAGAAAGTCCAAGAATTTTTAAAGAGAAACCCTGTAAGGAGGGGTGTGAGCTCTTTGGTCCCAAGCACCTGGAGAGGACACAATCCTTATCATAGCTTGTTCAGCACACCTGAAACAATACTGAAACAGTAACATGCAAGCAATGTTACTTAACATTCCTGGTCCAATTGCAGCTATTAATCTCCACCTCGACAATTAAATCTTTTTTTTTATTTTTTATTTTTTTATTTTGGTTTGTGCTTGCTGTTATAGTTTAAGAAACACACATATGGACATATAAGGGGTAAGAGCACACGGCTGAAGAGTGACCTGAAGCATTCACTGAGCACGATGAATCCTTTATGCTTTACTTTGAATGCTCTGTTTCATTCTGAGAATGACAAATTTCTCCAGGCCAGGAACATCTGAATGGCAGACTTGCTACAGCTTCTGCAGTACATTTGGGTCCTTTGTCCTATTCTCTGTTAAAACACATGTTAAGATAAGTCACCGTTCCCTAAAATCTCACTTGACTGAGGACTTCGGCGTGGTGGGATCATATAGCAACCGTTATCTTTTACATCTCTGAAAAATCCCTAGCCTTATCTTTAATGTCTGAAATCAAAACTGGTTGCCCATTTTTGTCACTCCAAAACCATGTTTATTCTGGCACAGCTCTTCTGAGAGGCTCTGAAATACAGCTTCAAATCACGGGCGACAGAGCGTCCCGGTGTGCTCCTCAGCATCAGTATGGAGGCATGCGAACCCCTGTCAGCATTCCTTATTATTGCTGACATTGGATGTGTGTAATACGGAGAATGGATCATTTTTGTGACTATCCACGCATCTAAGATTGAAAAAAACCAGTTTAATTTTCAGAGTCCTATTTCCCAATCAATGTATACTACTCATTTACCATATATTCTGCTGAAATGTAACATCCTCGTATACATTTGGCATATCGCCAGCACCAATTTTTCCTGTAAAAAATGAAATCACACTACAACAAGTTCTTAGACCCCTTCCTTTAAATCTCAGTCACACACAGTGCTTTTTTGCCCTTTCAGAAAAGTCATCCTGTAAGGATCATGTCAGAGACAACATGTGCAGAGGGCATCCAAATAACCCATTTGTTTTACAAATGGCTGGAGTGGTTTAAGATCTTACCACCTCAGCTTTTTGCTACCCCTGTTCTCTTCGTCTGTTTCCTGCAAAGTCAAACTCATTTTTCGCTTTCATTGCCCATGGACCGTCAAGATGCTGGACATAGTTTGTTTGTTTTGCACTGTGGCAAATCAAGAAGGGTATTGTCTGCTACAAGGACAGTCGTTTCCAGCAGAGTAGTGCTAGCAAGCATACGTATCGGGGGTGTGTGTTAAGTTACTCCTGTTATATCCTTAAAAAGATGCCTGTCTATTCTCTGTATGTTGCGTAATCAGAAGTGGGTTCTGAGTCCAGTTGTGGCTCATGTCTTCAAACAGGAGGGATGCTAAGGAGATCTAGTAAATATATCACCCTCTGAGCATTTCTTTGCAATAGTGTGGCAGTGGGAACCAGCTGTCGGTTTATCCAGTGATTTGACAGATGCTAGTGTGAATGTGAGCAGTGTGTTAAGTTTTGTACCGAGCTCGATAATCCTGGACAGTCTTTCCTGGCAGAAAAGAAGAAACAGAAAAGCTGCAAAGCAATAGAGATGACTGTAACAATGCCCCAGCTCTTCCTGGCTTTTTGCTGCAGACACCTGCAAAATGGCCCAGTTGGAGTTTTCCCACTGAAGTATTGTGTCACTAACTCAGTGCTCAACAACTTCAGCACTTCTGAGAATGAATCCTGTTGCTGAATATGAGCTACTAGTTTATGGAAATGCATCTTTCTTTTTTTTTTAAAAAAAAAATCGATCTCTCCCTAAATACTCAAGTTCTTGTAGTCCAGAATATGCAAAGCTGTGTATTTTAACGAAATTATTTTAACTTCATAATAATGTAAGAGAAATATAATGTATTTCCTGCTAGTATATTCAGTAGATACTTCTGTCTCTCTAAATTTTATATGAATTGGATTGAGTTGTTTTAATAAGTTTTTTATAAGATTTAATAAGATCTTTGAAAGGCTTTCTAATGGATTTCTTGGTAAAAATGTAAAAAAAGTGTTGTTTTGCATTTTGCCGATACATATGTTTACCCTTGGTTCAGAATCAGGGACCTCTGGAGTGCAGCGGCAACCAGGGGGTTGTATACAGCTCTTTGCAGGACCAGGCATTCATCAGTAAGATATGTTAGATGCTACGGATCCAAATCGGTCCCAGGTCTTTCCTGCTTGACTTACCTCTGAGATCTGTACTCCCGGTTTCTCTGCCTCTTCATTACAATAACGTTTAGCAAAGATGTTTAGTATTCAAGTAATTTTTCATGTTGTCTGTTACAGCAATGTTACTTGATTGAAACAGAAACACCCCACCCCATTTTTAATAGTTGATGATAGCTTGTCAGACACGACTTCAGAGACTTGAGAGTGCTCCTGGGACACTGCAGCTCAGGTAAATGTAGACTTAGCCTCTGATGCTAGTTTCAGGAAAAACACAGTTAAGAAATAGGCTGCTGTACAGGTCTTAAATCGACGAGAGAGGAAGGGAGGGAAGGATATAACATATGTCCAGGAACTGCTGGAGTTTTATAAGCTTTGTGTTATTGTTTTTTAAATCTATCTGGGGGGTTATGTTAGGAGGTAAATGGAGAAACGGAAAAGCAAAGATAGAAGTAATTGGAGCGAATGGCCAATAAGTGAGGGGGAGAGAGGGGCCAATGTGAAAACTGCAGAGATATTCTGATGATGTTATCAATATCCATCAATTTCTGCTTGAAGGGCGGCTGCAGCTGCTCTGCCAGCTTTGCTCCTTGGCGAGCTCATCTCTGCAGCTCCCCCCACCCCTCCACGCTTATGGGGGTGAAGGAGAAGGAGACCCTGAGTGAGTCCTGGCGGCCACGAAGAGGTGCTCTTCCAGCATGCATGCGTTCTTCAAGGAACCCATAAAGAGCCCTTTGAAGGGCGTGCAGGGTACGCAGCTTTCATCTTGGGTGTTTGAAAAATGAGTGAGAATTTTTTTGTAGATTCCTCTTCACCCAACAAAAAGATGTAGGTATCTACATATAAGCAAATCTCACCAAATACGTCTGAGAGTCACTGCAAAGAAACAGAGCTTTCTGGGATACGATGCATCATATCTTCAGATAAACATCCTAAATAGATTTGATGACTTGTATTCTACAAGTGCCTATTTTTTCTCCAGTGTCTATAAAGGGACTCTAGGGTGACTAGACCAGACACAGTAGATATGTCTTAAGACTGACGAAGTGAATCCCATACTTTGTGTTGGGAAGCTGAAGAGACATCTGTGTTTCAATTCAGTATGGTCGGTAAAAAAGGGAACTCTGACAAGTAACTAAAGAGCTTGTTTTTGGTGACACTTCTGTAATCATATCCTAAGTGCAGTGGGTTTTAGATCCAGCTGTTTATCGTCTGGGGGGAGACTAAGCCAGACTTGTTTACAACTCTGCTTTTCCTGAAAGCAGCCAGAGTCTTGCTTACTGATAAATCTATAAATTAACCATTCTGCCAGGTATACTGCACCAATAGCTTTCCTTGTAAGTCTCACTTGCTGCAAAGCATCCTTCGAACAGGATTGCCCTCTGGCAATAAAATTTGTCTTTTGGAACTTTTTTCTACATAGTTTATTTACAGTTTTTTTCCTTTTCTCAAGTATTTTCTGTTACTCAGAAAAAGAGTTTTGGTAACTTTAAAGAGGATAATAAAGTCAGTTGATGAATACATGTATTTGTTGAGAGTGCTTGTAGGAAAGCTGGACTGCTATGTCATTTGTGCTGAAATATATGGGTAATTCATTCGCTAAGTGCAATCAGGAAAGACCCAGGACTATTTATGTCTGGCCTTGGCTTTGATTTACTTGTTAAAGCTCATTGTAGAAAGTCAAGTAAAAACTTTGATCTTACAATGTTCTCCCAAAAAACCCCAAATTTCACTGGAACTGAAGACTGAGGAGGCAGCCTGCAGTGTCTGTGCCTGAAGGCCTCTGTGCGCAGAGCTGCTACCGAATTCACTGGGAATTTTGCCCGAGTACGAAGAGATGAACAGGAACCTAGAGTAGGAGCAGAGGCCATGTTGCAGCTTTGCCTGAAAATGAAGTTTATAAGGGCCATAAAATGTTGTGGGGTTTGGTGTTTTTTTTTAATTTTCTTTTTTTTCTGTAACAGGCTACAGGTATTTTAGTTTCAAATTGGACACTTTTAAACTGGAAGGAGAACTGCACTCACACTGATAACGTAACAGCACATCTAAATGTCTTTTAAAAGACTTCAATTTACCTATTAAGACCAAATAGACTGTTAATTTGACAGAACATCCATGTTCCCTGAACTTAGGGCTATAAAAATTGTTCATCTGCTCAGTCACAGGCCATTTAATTTTGGATGCATCATTGCCAGTTGGTTACAGTAATTAGCATTCTCTGTATTGTAGCGGCTTCCCTGAAGCTATGCTAAGTAGGGTTACACTTCTGTATGGAAACATAAGCAGCCTTGTGCAAATGAGCCTGGCCACCCATCTTAGAGACAGAAGCCCTAGCTACAGCTTCTTGGCTCAGGGTGCCCTATATGCCCACCTGCAGATCTTATTTGCTGGTTATTAATGACATGAAGTGTAGGCAGCTGTGAAAGGCACAGCATGGCAGCTTAAAACCTCCGCTCCAAACTATTCTCTCAGCCTTGTCATTTCTTTGAGTGACACCTGATTTCCTTTTTTTTTTTTAATCTTTCCCTTTATACTCTCTTTTAATGAAGTTATTGGACAGAAATATGGATTTATGCAGCTGGAAATATGGAAATATTTAGCTACTTGGACCATGGGACTTGCTTTGAGAAACCTGGTCTACTAGGCACTGATGGGGTCCATCTGTCAGAGAAGGGGAAGAGCATCTTCAGTCATAGGCTTGCCAAGCTGGTGAAGAGGGCTTTAAACTAAAGTTGCCAGGGGAGGGGGACCTCAATACATCCCAATCCTACCAGTTTGATACCAGAGCCAGCAATAGATGCCCAGAGCCTGGAGAAGGATTACAGGTTAGCAGGAAAGCGCCTGAAGAGCAGCACAAAGGAATTCCAGCCACTCCAGCTGGTAAGACAGCTTCATCGGGGGCCCAACTTAAATGCCTCTATGCAAATGCACGTAGCATGGGGAATAAACAAGAGGAGTTAGAGACGTGCACAC